TGATCAGCGCTGCGGTCAACCTCCATCGACGCAATCACCCTGCCTTCAAGCTACTCGGCAATGTCCCCCGGGGATTCAAGGCTGCAGGAGTTCCCAAAATAGATGTTCCAATCATCAAGGCATTTCTTAGTGAGCTCCCTGCCGCTGTGATTGTTCTGTAGATTGAACACATTGCTATCTCGAAATCGTTCGGTCGTGTCAACAACTATACGATCGACCCATCGCAGGAATTCATTGCGATTGGCATATCAAACCTACTAGGTCCGTTCTTGGGTGCATACCCAGCTACAGGCTCATTCTCGCGAACTGCTATCAAAGCAAAGTGCGGCGTACGCACTCCCCTCGCAGGTGTGATCACTGCCGTTGTCGTCCTTCTTTCCATATATGCACTGCCAGCGCTGTTCTTCTTCATCCCCAAATCGTCCTTGTCGGCCGTGATCATCCACGCAGTGGGTGATCTCGTTACACCGCCCCGTGTCACCAATCAATTCTGGCGTGTATCCCCCATTGACGCACTCATATTCTTCATGGGCGTTATCGTAATCATATTCTCAACTATCGAGACCGGAATTTACTGCACAGTCGGTGTATCGTTGGCAGTGCTCCTCTTCCGACTCGCCAAAGCCAGAGGACAATTCCTTGGCTACGTCCAGGTCCATTCAGTCGTGGGTGACCATATCCTCAACTCATCCCAGGGAGATCCAAATACAGAATTCGAAGATGATACCGACAGCTCCCGAAGAATTTACCTCCCAACCGAACATGAAGGTGGCACAAACCCCCGAATCAAGATCCACCAACCAGCCCCAGGGATCTTCATCTACAGAGTCTCCGAAGGGTTCAACTACCCCAATGCAAACCACTACACAGACCACCTAGTCAGCCACATCTTCAAAGAAACCCGGCGCACAAACCCACAAGCATGGGAAACACCAGGCGACAGACCCTGGAACGACCCAGGTCCAACCCGCGCCGAACGCAAAATTATCATGGCAGAGGAAGCACCCACCTCCCCACTCCCAACTCTCCGCGCCATAATCCTCGATTTCGCCGCCGTCAACAACGTAGACGTCACATCCGTGCAGAACCTCATCGACGTCCGCAACCAGCTAGACCGCTGGGCATCCCCAGACAGCGTGCAGTGGCACTTCGCGCACATCCACAACAGATGGACGAAGCGTGCTCTCGCAGCCGCTGGGTTCGGGTTCCCCGCCGTCTCAGATGGGTCAGGTCCTCGATGGCAGAAGTCTATCTTTAACGTTGCGGAAATCCTAGATGGCGGTCTACCCGGTTCAGTAGCTCAGTCTCAAGTCATCGGGTCGGAGGACTGGTCGAAGGATTTGGAGGCTGGCCTGAAGGTGCAGGAGAGTAGTGCTTCCTTGTCGGTTATGGGTGTCTCTGAAGATGATATTCAGGTTGTGCGGACTGGTGAGAGGGATGCGAAGGTTAACACTCATCGTCGCAGTGGTCGATCTGGTGTCGGTACTGGTATGGCTGTCGTGGATGGAATTAATCGGCCTTTCTTCCATGTGGACCTGACTAGTGCTCTGAAGAGTGCTTTGGCTGATTCTTAGGGGATGGATGCATATGCTGGCTTGCTTTACCATCTAATATTTGCTCGCTTTCTTTAACTAGCTTTAAATTCTTGTTAGGAATCATCCTCATTTCAGAAATTCTGAATCAAATGAACAAGACTAGGTAGGTCTTGCATTTTCATCAATTCAATATTAATCTATTTTAAGCTAAAATCTTCGATTAAGCAACTCTAACAGCATTTTCAGTATACCGAATAACAACAAGTGATATCTATGTTCTCCACAATAACTTAAGGCCAGATAACTATTTTATTCACCGCAACTCTGCTAGGAAATCCCTCCAGAGCTCAAGACTGGCGGTGTCCGATCTCGATTGCGTAGATCGAAGACTAGTCCCAATTGCGTATAGCTAGTGGATGTCGACGATCTTATCTGTGTTGGTGGCTGAAGAAGGGTCCTGTGAGAAACCTCTCCAAGACACCAATTATCTACAACCACAATAATAAAGCAGGTTACATATTCGATATGTTTGAGAGGGTCATTTTGTTGCAGGAAGGATGCATACTCCCAATGTCATGGCAATTGTTGATTAGTAGGGCCGAGGACAAACAAACTATCCAGTTAACATCATGTCTCAAAGGACTGCACAAACGAGTACTTGCGTTCAGTCAATGTCGTGAGATGCGCCAGTTCCATCTTCCCAAATAAGAACCAAACCACCCCCGGGAAATAGAAAAAAAAAATTCGTACGTGGAATACCCTCGGCATCCGACATGTCCGTCAAGCAACATCACGCATCTCTCAACGCGATACAAGTACTCGATACTCTGCACATCAACACGACCAATCTACAACTACAGCCTTTCCTACAGAACCAACAATCTCGCTCCGCGCCTAAATCCTCACTATCCGACCCTCTCGCGCAAGTCTAGATCTGCCGGCCTGGTGCACAACATATCCGCAGCCTCGAGATGGTTGGATCTGTGACAGTGGGAAACGTCGAAGCCTACAATATATGTGCGCAATGACCGGTCTACACAGTGCGGACCTGCCACTAGTTCCGTCTGTGACTGGACGGTGAAGCTTGATGGCTGAGTGTGTGGCGGACGGCGTAACGCGTATCTATAATGTGGCATGCGAGTCTGGGGTGGCTGTTCTTGCGGACTGGATCGATTGTTAAAGAGGTGTTGTTTTCGGTGCTTACTGCCCGCTTCGGGTGTGATGCAGAACTAAGGATCAGACTGCGTTGATCGAGGGTGTGCAGTCGGTGCGAGGGCTGATGCTTTCGGGCAGATCCGGGAGGACGTAGAAAGGACACGCCTTGTTGGGGTAGATGTTGTTCCTGGCGGATCATATGCCGCGGCTTTGGCGTTTCTCGTTCTCGAGGCTCACGCCGGGTTATCAGAACATTTTGGGTGATTTGCTGTACTGGGCGGGCTTTAAATCCGTGGAGGCGGATATATTGACGGAAGCATGGCTGTGAGATTGGGTATGGGCTGTCCAGCACATCAGTGGCTGTCAGATATAGTGCTGGGCTAGCGCTAGGCTCGTGATTGCATGTGTTTCTGCCGAGGGCGAGAGTGCGGTTCAAGGGAAAGAGTTATTCTAACAACCGGGTGGGCACAACTGATCTTATGTTGGAATTGAGAGAGTGGATATAGTTTTAAGAAAGAAACTAAGCTATGGATACTGTGTGTCTTGTGCCATTACGGCAATACTGCGTACAACATACACGATTATACAGACGCTGAGGCTATACGGGTTATATGCCAACTGGCCTTATGACCTCACGGGCATGTCAATGATGAGTTGATGACTCGCCGAGTCTGCCAGTTACCATACCGTATTCTGGTATTTTACCCGATTACACCCGGCACCAGAGCCCCTTTTGTATCTTCACACCTCTATACCAGTTCTCTCTCTACGCTTCTTTTTTTAGACTCAATTGCTATTCTCAATTACAATTGCAACTTCTGGCATAACTATTATCCCCAACTCCCATACCAATGGCCTGGATAGCTCGAGGCAAGGAAAAACGCGTAACGGCTGCACCCTGAATCGAGCTTGTGTGGGTCCCGCCAAGCTGCGATCAGCCGAAATTGCTAGAAAATCGAATTTCCGGGATATATGCGAAGAGCCTCTAGTTAGCCCGTTTGGGATACTTTAATTTGCCCGTGAAAATTTTTTCTGGAGGTAGGTCTGCCTATATAAGGGTCTCCAACCCCCGTTCAAAAGGGAGGGAAGACTTGATTGACAGTTTACCGCGTTACGCTGAATGTTCTGTAATCTCCTTTAGGGCAATCCAGAAAGACACGGTTTTCAGTGCGATAATCGGGTTATGGCGGGTCGGAAATCCAGTCTAAGTGGACCTGTGAAAAGCAAGGACACGACAACCCGGTTTTTGTTTCTTTTTTTTCCCTATCTTTTTTTTCCCTGTCTTTTTTCTATCTTCCGATTTCACCCCTGCCATAAATTTATATAAGAATCGAACCTCACCTGCAGGTCCGATGCATGGGTTTTGCGTCCCTCGGCATGCCATAGGCAGGAGACCGAAGCTGTTCGGGGTACCGGGTCCGCCCATAATTACGTATTTCCCAAATGTGACCACTCGGTGAGGTGGATTCCCGAGGGACGAAGGGGGAGACACTATCCACCTCATCCACATTATCTATCTCCTTTCAACCGATGGTTGCCCAGTGAATCCGTAGTTGGTGGACCTGCAATCCGAGTCGGGCCGGTTTGGGCGACGCCGGGAACAAATCCAAGAAACACTACGGACCGGAGAGGATTATGATTGGTTGATAGAAGCGTATTGGTGGGTCGATCCACTGGATTGGAACATGCTTAAGATCCACTGCAAGGGCAAAATTGGGATTTATTTTATATTATTTTATCTTTTCTTTTTTTGTTTTTATTATCTTCATCTCGTAATTTTATTCTACCCCTTTGTTCAGCTTCTAATTCTACGATTGACATACGTATATCAAAAATGTATCAGAGGCACTATGTAAGATCCCCTACAAAGTGAAGGGTCATCTTTTTCCATGCAGGGGACATTCTGATAGATAGTCTGGGACCCATAAACCCTCCACGAATAACAACCAGTGGACCCAGTTGGAGCAATACCCGACTGATCCCGACAGGTAGCAATACACGGTAAAGAATAAGGAAAAGAAACAAGAGCAAAACAGAGCAATACCACCCCCAGCATTCCCAAATAGTGTGATTTGCGTATGAAATACTCCGGAGTCCACGCACAACCTAGGGCTTTTTTTTACCTTACACATACACTAAGACCGACTAGGAGGCGGACGGGCGAAAATTTGGCCGTAGAGTATTTATGTCCTAGTGAGTGCCGTCTCCCGTAGTTTCCCAGCTTTTTCTCCCTGAAAAGTCCATCTCTCTCCTCTTTCTTTCTTTCTCCTCTCTTCCACCCACCCTATAATTCTATAAACCATCATCACAATGGCCGCCACTCGTGTCTTCACCTCCCGCATGGCCTCCGTCATGGCCCAGACCTCCAAGGTCGCCCGCCCTGCTGCTCGCTTCCAGCTCAACGCTGCCACCAAGCGCACCTTCACCCAGAAGGCCCCCGCCTTCGGTGCCCCCAAGCGCATCCAGTCTCCCACTCTCCTCCAGGCCAAGGCCTTCCAGACTGCCGCCCGCCGCCAGTACTCCTCCGAGGTCGCCTCCGCCATGGTTGAGGTCTCCAAGAACATCGGTATGGGTTCCGCCGCCATCGGTCTCGGTGGTGCCGGTATCGGTATCGGTCTCGTCTTCGCCGCTCTCCTCATGAGTGTCTCCCGCAACCCTGCCCTCCGTGGCCAGCTCTTCTCCTACGCCATTCTCGGCTTTGCCTTCGTCGAGGCCATGGGTCTCTTCGATCTCATGGTTGCCATGATGTGCAAGTACGTCTAAATTATCTACAACTCGGGTTTTCGGATTCTTGGAAAAATGTCATCAAAACAAGGATTTTGGGTTTTTGAGAGAATCTCTTTTTCTGCCGGGGAGGGTATTTGGTCGTGATGTATTACCATGTACTACTTTCAGCGTCATCTACAACACTTTTTCTTTCTGTACATATAGAGTCCTACATGGCCCATCGACCATCCAACCTATCAAAGAGCCAAACGAAAAAAACTCTGTGTGTTGCGTCTGACGGCCGTATAATATCCTCTTTCTCCCTTCTTCCTAGATTTTCACCTTCCCCACGGGGGCGAATGGTTGAAAAATGCACGTATGGGGGCTTCACGAGCTACTTTGCTCGAAAGCTCAGAACTCCACGTAGACAAGCTACAAAGCTATAACCCGGGGTGAAAATCCTAGCTCGATCTTCAAAATAAACAGCTCCTGCTTTGTTTTTGGGCGCTTGTTTTATCCCCGTTCTAGCGGATGTTGCTACGGGTCCTACACAGTATTTGACCCGCTCTTCAACGAGCAACTACGCCACAACTACCACCAATTGGCCTACAATAGACGGTGAGAGTAAACTAGAGATGGATAATAAGACTATCGAGCTACTTTATAGCAAATCATCGGTGCTGGTGGGCCTCAATTGAGAGCTGGACACCCTCGACGGAAAATTCTTAGCTCCCGGGCCTCGGGAACGGCTTTCCCGTAGTCAGCTGACTCAGCTTGTGACATCAGCCTCGGGATTCCAGAGCTGCCACGAGGTCGAGTTTCTGCATGCAGCATGCAGGACTTGAAGAGCGAAGTAAGTCATATTGCATTGTAAGCTAGGTGCCTTATGAATTTACTCTGGATTTACTCTGGCTTGAGGTTGAGGCATTGAATGCTCTGATGTTCGGCAACTTCCCCGTTTATATCCACGAACCCGGTCTAGTCCGCTTTCGGTTAGTGACAATATCAAGGAGTATATCTCAGTGACTTTGAACAATATCTAATGGATCTTTCTTTCTGGTGAGTTTATGTAGATATCTATATTTGGACGTGTCTCCAACGCCCAACATATCAAACATTGTCCAAATTCAGCAATATATATAATGTCTTTAGGCTTGGTTTTCAAGGGTTCATCCAATATATACATCGGAGACTACCAAACCATATCAGCTATGAAATTTCCTTTTTAATTTCTTTTTTAGTTGAACCTGATACAGCAAATTTAAGAATAGAGCCCATAGTAATCACCGAAGGGACCTATCACTGCAAAGAACTCGACGAAGCTGGATGAGCAATGCACGTGCCAAGTAGAAACGCGACTCATCGCGTCCATACACCCTGGCAACATCATAACACTCCAGTTGAAAGGAACAAAAAGCTCAAGTGCATCAAAAAATATGCTCCATATTGAATGATATAAAAAATCAACTTGCTACCAGAAAGATTCACAAAGAATATCACAAAATTCGACTCCAGACATGCCATAATCGCTCGATGAAACTGATGAAACGCCGATGGGGAATATGTATCACCAGGACTCGACAGAAGAAAAACCCGAAGTGTAAGCGCACCAAAGCAAACCAAAAAAAAAACAACAACAACAAAGAAGAGAACAGACACACCAGCTAGAAGATTTCCAGATCCTCAAACTCAACCACCAACCCATCCGCCGAACCCGTCGGCAAAGAGGCATCCAGCGTCATACCATGCATAGCATCCCACATAGTCCCACCACGCGACATCCCCATCGGCCGACTCGCATAAACCCCAACATGCACAAACTTATCCTCAACCCCATAAAAGAACCACGTCACCTCGCGCAACTTCTTCCACGAATTCCCCACCGCACCAGGCGACCCAGCGAACGGCGTCGCCGACGGAACCTGGTACCAAATCCACAGCGCATGGCCAACACGCTCAAGCTTGATACGCAGCGAGTGGATCGCCAGTCCGGCCTGAGCCGACTGCGCCAGCGGCGACAAACACCAGTCCGCACCATCTGCCGTCGCGCTCACCGACGACGCGTTCACAGTCCCCGACGAAAACTCCATTCCGGCTTTCACCCATTTGCAGGGTGAGCGCGGGGCGTTGCGGAATCCCGGCGGTCCGTCGACTTCGGAGGAGAGGGATTGAGGTGCTGCGCCGGCGAATATCACTAGTCCGCCTTGGTCCCATTCCATTTCCCAGTCTGCGCTCACGGTCACTTCCGCTACGACGAATGCGTGGCGGAGGGATGTGAAGACGATTGGGGCTGTAGAGGTTTCGCCGTTAGGGGGTTTGCGCCATAGGTCTGTGTTTGGGCCCGCTCGGAGTGTGAAGTATTCCATGCATTGGGGTAGTTCGAATGTCGGTGGGAGGTTTAGGGCCGTGAAGGTTGATCCATCTGGAGGCATGTTTTTTGGATTTTTTTTGGATTTTGAGATTCTTGAATTGGGGCTCCACGCGCTCTTAATAAGTGAAAGAGAAGGCAAACAATTGTAGTCACACTGTGTGGTTTCTCGAAAATGGGAGTACCACGGATAGTTGATACACTTAAGTCCTTCGGCAATGACGCTGGGGTCACAACATTTGCCTCTAAAGTTTAAGCAGGTGCACTAATCCGAAGCAAATCATGCACGATGAGTATAAGGCCAACGATACAAAAGAATTGTTGGGGTATGATGTAGTCGAGAACTGGGATAGGCCGAATGCGGGTTGGGCCAGACCTGGAAATGGGAACACCGAAAAAAAGCAAAAGGAAAGTAAAGAAAAAGAAAAAGAGAAAAGAAGATGAGCAAATTAATTATTATGGCTTGAACTACGGAGTACGTAGTACTTATATAGTGAGAACAAGTGGCGGCTTGCTTCCCCCTAATGGATCTCAGAGGACGATCTTCTCAGGTTCCGCTGGGGATGACCCTATCAGGGAAGCAGACCCAGAGTACTGGAGACTCAAACCGAGCTGTTGGGCTCACTGAGGCGCTAGAGCCATGTTCTTTATGGTCAATTTCTTTGAGGATGGCCCTCGAGAAGCGTGCTTGCATTGCTTCGGCTACAGATGGGCTGCGGGCCAGTTCGCAAGTGGCGGGTCACCATGCATCTGCGGAGGACCCATCACGATGTGACGGAGCTTCTAAGAGGAGAATTAAAGGTCCCTTTAGGCCCAAAAGGACCCAAGGGGGCGCACAAAACAAGGAATAGGGCGAATGTGTGCAGTTGACACTAATCAGAGCTGAATGAAAGAACACGCAGTTGGAAATGTTTCATATCCACACCCCGGTGGCAAGAGAGAGATTATACTTCAACATATCGAGGATCGATCGGAACAATGCAGGACGCATGAACTGGGTGGAACTCAGATTCGGCGGGAGCTGAGAATTGCCTGGGATCTTCCCTGGTCGGTGGTTTGACGGCTTACAGGAAAATATAGGCAAATAGGCTTCGGTTTTTTTTATTTTATTGCTCTCTGCAGACTCAGCCACTCGGTTTCGCTCTCCACTTATGGGGTGTTCTGCACGAGGCTGAAGAGGGTAATCGTGGATGTTTCATGGGGAATCCTGGTGGATTAGATGTAAGATGTAAGATATAATGTAAGATATAATAAGATGTACTATAAGAATCCTCTGCCGAAATGGTTAAAACGCTCTCTCCCCCCACACCTAGTCTTCTCGCTCTCCCCTCTATACCTATATCTCTATTGTTCACCTACTCCGTCCTATTTCGTGCAAAATGAAGTAAAATCTACAGATCAGCTGACATGTTTCTTTTTATAGACTGCCAAGGCTTTAGCTTGTGATCGACTTTCTTTCTCTGTTTTCCAAGTCATTTAACGGTGATGTGTTGGCATATTCGGGCGCAACTTCACTGGGTTCTTACATCTTTCTCTGCCTAACGTCAAATACAACATACAAAGTACATTTTCTCCGCCCATTTTCCTCTTGAATTCCAAATCTCAAAGACTTCAGCGCCCCGCGCTAATATGCACCGATGTACTCCGTACTCCGTAGCCGAATATGCACGGGGCGAAGTGCAGGTCCCAAAAAGGGGGCCAAAAACCGAAAACCCCCCCAAATTCAGCAAGGCGAAGTCAACTCGTATTTTGTTTTGAAGCTCTCTGCCTTTTCGAGGCTAAGTATAAGCTTCGGGCCAATCAAATCCGCCCCATCGACTTCTTGGCTTCGTATTTGAAGACCCTTAAGCCTCAATCCAAGCTAGTGCACCCCGTATGGAGAATTTGCTTGAGCCCCCTGATCCGTTTGCATATGTACTTAAATGCCGTCCATTTCGTAAACACTGGGGAACTTCTTAGATTCCTCAGAACTAAGCAGACCAAATTGCAAAAAATGGCGCCTCGACGCGGCGGTGGAGGCTATTCCTCAAGCTACTATCGCGACGACAATCCATGGAGCGAGACAGTCTGGCTGTCACTGGATTACTACTACCGGGACGGATACAAGACTTTCTTTCTCACCCAATTTGCCTTTGATATCCTCTCCCTTCTCGCGTTCGTCGCCTTCCTCATCTGGGCATGCACGATCAGGAATCGCAGTCTCCCGATGAAGGGACTTATTTGCGCCCTGACTTCCTTTATATGGTATGTGGAAAGACCTGAGCTAAAATAAACAATTCGCTAACCCGTGGGTCACTCGCTAGCTCCCAAATTAACATCGTCGCATGGGAAGCCCTCTATGTCGCCGAGGCGGAGGTGACGAAGTACTATTTGATCAGCCTGATGCTCTGGGACTTCTTCAAATTCGTTGCGATCTGTCTCACCTTTTATGTCTTCTGGAATCTCATCCATCGCTTCCTGGGCCTTATTAGAGCCTCCGGCAAGCCGCATGTGGCAGTGACCATCATCCATTATATCTCCCTTGCGATTATCTTCCTGGTCTCTCTTGCCGAATGGGGCATGTCTGTCGCTTCTTACGTGAGAAGTGTGACTTCCACATACGATGACGATATGCAGTGGATCTGGACACAGTTGATTGCTGCGGAATATATCGTCTATTGGGTGCTGTCCACTGAGATACTCGCTTGGGGGATCTTCGTGGCTATCAAGGCTCGCAGCAATTCTTTTGTGTCGAAGGTGAGTCCTACCCCAATACATATGTACTTTCTATACATAGCACAACAACTAACTGGCCATTTTCAGATGCCCGCTATGGCATTCATCACCGCCGCCATCTCCTGGTGCGCAGTGTCTTCCGCCCTGGCCATCATTTACATTCGCTATAGCCTAATGCCTACCTATGATGGTCTACCGATATACCTAAACGCCGCCGAAGGCATTATACAGTTCGTTCTCTGGGTCGGCACTTACACTGGCATTCTCCTGTGCTGTGCGAAATGGCGCAACCTCGGCGACGAGCAGAAGTATCCGGCACCTCAGTTCCAGCCTCAGTACCCTCCCGCTCAATTCCAACCCCAGTACCTTGCTCAATCCCCCGAAGGACAATACCCTCCGGTTCAACAGCAGCCATATGGCGTTGCTCCTTACCTGGATCATTCGGCACAGCCTCAGTCTCACCCGCACCATCAACCGCACCACGTCTCGCCTCAGTAAGGTTGAAGTTAAGATCGGATTCTGTTGAGATGTACTGGTTGATTTCACCATGTTTTTGATATTGTGAGAGTTTCCATTCACAGTGATACTCTCTTTTAATGTATATGCCGACTGTTTAATGTTGATACCCAAATGACGCGAATAATAGCAATGTGATCCTTTTTCTTATGAACTATCATACAAACCATATTTCCAGTATACCTCAAATAATACTCTAGAAACTCAAAAACACATGAAACCCAAAAAAAGAAACCCATAAAATGCAAAGAAGCAAGTAGACAAAACGTCTTGGCAAGAGACCAGGCGGTGGCGCGAACCCGCGATAACATCATCTTCATTTTCGCCGTCAAGCTTTCTCTCGATCAACAACTCCCCTCTCACCTCTCACGCAAGCGAAAAAAAATGGTCTGCTCAAAATGCCAAAAGAAGCTCAAAGCCACCGAGCTCGCCACGCCCGGCGTCAAGCGCAAGAACGACATGTACTACGGCTCGCCGTCTAGTACACTCGGTGGCGGCGCAGACAAAGGAAAGACGAAGTCGACGTTAGGCGCCACGGGAATCGGAAAGGTATGTGTTAAATTTTGCCGGTCGATACTATGGATTAAAACAAATTATTATTTTGGATGAGTTTTTATACTGACATCTCCTCCCAGAGCAAACTCCTCAGCGCGAAAGCGAAGAATCCTTATGCGGCTTATGCTTCGTCTTGTGATAACTGCAAGGTGAAGACGGAGCAGGGGAAGAAGTTTTGCCAGCGGTGCGCTTATCAGCGGAATGGTATGTTGCTCTATTCTTTTTCCTTGGCTTGTTCGTTGCAAATGGAATGCTGATATTGATACTATATGTAGCCTGTGCCATGTGCGGCAAGAATCTGGCGGGGAAGTCGGCCAAGGACCAGCCTATTGTTCAGGGACAGAAGTTCAACATGGCATGAGATGCTTGCGGGTTAGATCTAGACGGTTGTGCCTTTTACTTTTTTTACTTTGTTTCACTCTACATGGCATGGCGTTTTTGGAGGCGTTGATGATACCGCGGAATCGAATATTAATATCAACATCAACATTGAAATGAAATGAAATTGATTTGACAGTGTAGGAAAATTCTAGTTATACATGGCATGCGCAATAAGAGTATATGCAATGCGCCACCAATGGTGCGCTATAGTATCGGAACAAGTATGCCTTTTCATCTCTGAAGAACTTTGAACCTCGCGTTCTCCTTCTCACCCAGCTCCCCTCAGCTGCTTCCCGGTATTCGACTCTTACCGGTCGGCCAGCATGTTCTTGATGTTGCTGTAGTATTGCGTGTTCAGGTATTGCGCGAGCTCCTCCTTGGCGAGCCACTTGAAGTCCTTGAGGTCCTGGGTGTTGACGGACAGATCGGCTTGGCCGGCCATCATACGAGACTTCAAGAAGAAGATCTTGCTTCCGGGAACTTCGACCTCGGTTGCGCTGTCTGCCTTCTTCGAGCGGCGCGGGTTGAAGGAGTGCCATCCGACCGGGTGGAAGCCGACCATCCAGGTGTTCATGTTGACACCGGCGGACTGGGAGAGGGTACGTTCAGCAGCCTAGGAGGGGAAAGTATGTTAGTATAATTTCCAGACTCAAAGTGGTTCGAACACAAGTTATAGCACTCACCAAGCGAAGGGTCTCGCCCGTCTCCACCGGCGAGCTGGGGAACTTCCAGTGTCCCTCCTTAGACTGAACAAGGAGGTAGAGAGTGCGGGAAAGCAAACGATCGAGGCTCTTTTGGTCGTTCTTCTTGTCTGCCTCCGTGATCCGAGGGTACGGCCGAGGGATTTCCTCCTTTTTGCTAGTATCTTGGGAAGTCGCATTGGCAGTGGATTCTGCGTCCTGGACAAGAGCCTCAACCTGGTGTTCAGGTTCAGACTCCTGTGCGCCTAGCAGGAGCTCATCGTTCCATGCATCGCTGTCGTACGCGTTGTAACTTCCGATGTCACGCGCGGCAGTCCGGCGTTCCTGGATCTTCCTCTTCCAGTCTTCGTCGGCTGGTGTTCCACGCTTGAAGTAGAAATATTTCGTAAAGGGGAGGGCCAGACGCTCGTTCAGACGCTTCTGGTAGAAAAAGAACGCTTTCTCGAACGGTTCGAGTTCACGGGTGATTTGGGGAGGGCGGGAGAGGACTACACCCGCGTTGATGATGTAGGCTGGCTTCACAGCGGGGTCAGACGCTGTTGATGCGGATGTCGATTCGATCGCTGGTGCTGCGGAGGAATAGCTGCGGCGGCCAAAGGTCTCTTGACAGCTTCTGCAGACGCCGGAGTCGATTATTGATGGCCCTGCGCGCGGAGTCAGTATTTGGACCTAAATAATCCGGGCAAAAACTTCAATTGGACATACGCAGTAGCGAGGCTACGCGCCGTGCACCATTAGATCCTGACGACATGTTCAAGGGTGGAATGGCAATGTGTTTGGGGCTGATCGGTGTCTTGTCTCCCCGAGAAAAAGATCCAACCAGGTCACGTTGTCGCCAGGCCCGATTAGGTTTAGTCACCGCCCGGGGGTTTAAATTTCAAAAATCGACTTTCTCTTTTCTTCTCTTCTCCAAGCATCTCTTATCATCACTGCGTCCAGTTCTCTACGGCCGGTTGATCATTTAAAGGTGCTCAGAGTGAGCTCCTCCTGAGATCGCGGCCAATTTTCGCTAGCGGTACCTTCTTTCAAAATCAAGGCGTACTGTTAGATAGCTGCCGCGAACATCCCATTTAGTCTTATGGTTATGTGCTTCAAATAGAAATCCATTTTTACCATTTTTTTACCTTTTTACCTTAACTTTTCTCTCTTCTCTCTAGTCCGTCTCTCTTCTCGGCAAGCATTCTCTTCCCTCAAGACCATGAATCACCACCTGCCCTCAAACCTCCACCAGCAGCTCTTCCTGCTTTGGTGGTTCCCTTCTTAGTTGTACCATCCTCTCCTGTGTACCAAACACCCGCAGTATGTTCCCGTAGGTATGCCAGAAGGTATCTCCGAGACGGGGCAGTAATTTACCCTGGTTGACCAAGCGAGTGATACGCCCGGAACCAGTGTCGGCTAGGGATGTGCCCGCTCGAGCAATCTGAGATGGTTGAATCGTCGGAATGGTCTCAGTGTCAACATCAAAAAAGTTGCTGAATTCACTTTTAGGATAATTCTGACTATTGCTAGGCTGTGCCATGATACTGGCAACCAAACTGGGTGCCGTGTTCGTCTGTGGTCCGGGTTTGACGGTCGGCTGTGAAGGGCTGCGCTGTATATCGCCTGCCAGTTTGATGAAGGCCATGGCGGCAAGCATGCTATCGTATCCTGCCTCGTGGGTGCGCTTACGGAACTTGTACTTCGCAAAGCGAGGGTCGATCTCTGCGAAATGGTTAGTTGTGCTCGCTTGCTGTCAAGGATATAACTCATGTCCTACCTATCTTGGGGCTTTCTATTCCAGCTAAAGTTGTGTTGAGCTCTTCGAGCGAAGACATTGGGTTTAGAGAGCCGCAGTCATGGGTGGCCATGTACTTGGTATCGGCTAGCATGGGGAATAGATCGTGGATGACGGTCTGGAACTCGGCGAGGGTATTCGGCAACGGACCCAGGAAGCATCTGTGGAAGAAGAGCAAATCACAGAACATGTTGTGGCCGACTAGAACCGGTCTGTTCTCCTTAAGCCGGTGCTTCACTTTGTCTGACAACTGCTCGATCTCGAACGTCGGCTGCTCGATTATCTTCATCAGAGGTTGGAAAGCGTCTGGTTCGAGTTCTTCCAGGCTTCCACCAACAAGTGCTTCAGCGATCCAGCGGAACCCGATATGCTTCCGGACTCGTTCCTTTTTGACCTTCAATTTCGTTTCGAAGGTGGATTGCTCATTGCACGGGTCCCGCAATTCGATCTGGACGAACGTTGACGCACCCCGCGACGTTAAGTTGGGGTATTCGTTGCTGATAAGGTGGTGTATCAGCCATTTCTGCATGCTGGTCAACCCGGTAGGTATGGGGCCTGGAATAAGCTGCACACTGCTGGGTGGCGGGATGTTGAGCCACTCACGGCGTTTCTATACATGTCAATTGATTTGGTCAGATCAACGTTTGATATAACGTCTTACCTCGCCCTGGGCCAGCCACTCATTGACACTGATCCGAACGGCTTCAAGGAACTCCAGAGATTCATGATCGTCTTTTTTAATATCCGCAACTTGGACGGGATTCCGCGAGTAACATTTCTCTGTAGCTCTTTTGATTGCCAGCTTTTCTTCCTCTCGAGACAGGTATCGGACACCGAAGGTGCACATGTGGTCAATGCTGAAGTGGTTCGCAAGCAAGAATTCCATTGCTGTCCAGGAAGATGTTAGTGTTATACTCAACATTCGTCGTAGATATCGGACATACAGCGGCTTCCGAATGTCCAGTCCCGATTCACATCCATCTCATGCTGAGTGATTGGACTCAGATTTATGTTGTATGGTTTCAGGGTGTAGGTAGCTGTAGGTAGTTAGCGATATAACGTCTTAAATTAGAGTTAATTGCGTACCATTTTCCTTGTCTTCATGACAAGTTGTCAGCCCAACTTGGAGAATCTGGTACCGCTCTGCGGCCGCCTTGGCTTCCACATATCGTTCCTGCACAGTCTGGGCCTGAGATTGTGGGGTACTTGGTTTGAAAACCACACCAGAGAGCTCGAAGTCTACGGACACGAAGCAGCTGGTGGAGATATCGTTGAGGATGGAGGGGAAACAATCGGGGAAGGTGACAGCTGTGATATCCATCTTGGTTCGAAGTTGAGGACAGCATGAAAGTATGAGCTTAGTGAATGAAGATAAAAGGCGAAAAGGGGAGAGTTGTTGATTGGCTTTGTTGAAGTCCGGATTGCTGCAAGCTGAAAGGAGAGTAGTATGCGTTGGGAAGGCAGGTATCCGAGTTTAATTGATCAGAAAGAGTCTTGCTCTGCGCGGAAGTTTTTGAAAGGGTGATCTGACGCAAAACTGAGAGCTTGAAAGTTTGCTGGTCTACTTGGCTGTCAAGTCTCATAGATCAGAGTTGAGATAGAAGGAAAGTAAGAAGCAGAAAGAGAGCCGAGGGAATAGTGATACAATAGAAGATCTCAAAGCTTTTAAATGCCACCAAGCCCTGGAAGATTACCACTGACTTACTTCTCTAAAGATGTTGTAATAGATATCTTTTGTCAATAAATTCTTAGCAAGTCCCAAAAGTACATTCTCTATTGCTTCAGAAATACAGCATATAGCTTCACAAGATGCAAGATCTATATTAGCCCTGAGATTTTTCTCAGTTACGAGTATATAAATAACCGAGGCAACATTCCGGTGATGTTTTTTTATTGCCCCAATGTCCAATTGGAATAGCACAGGCTGTTACCCTTGTAAATCGCCCCTTGTGATGCATTAACCGAACGAAACATTTGGGAGAGTGGCCTAGAGTGGTCAATTTCCAGGGCGAAGCACATCTTCTCCTGTCTAGGGACCAGTCAATGTATAATCAAGTACAAATTAGGAAGTGGTAGAATCTGAAGCTAGTATAAACATGAGATGTCGGATAGATCTCACAGGCCAGTCCCGTGACCGACCCCGGACTTGGACGAGCCGAGGGAAAACGAGAGAGCCGATCATAGCCCCGACACGCTTCATTTCCAAGATTGAATGGTTTCCCTTTTATAATTACTCTCTTTACTACTTTTTGAAGCAAATAAAGATTGCTTTTTGATATCCCGGCTTTCGCAATGGCTAACGGACCCCCCATGTCGTCTCACTCTCACGCCCCATCCTCAGCTTCCCCCACAAAGTTGTGCTCCAAGACATACAAGAAAGCCTCCCAACTTTACCTCACACGGCGCTTACCAGAAGCCCTCGCAAATCTTCAACCGATTATTACGCCTTCAGCACCAGAGGACCAGCACACAAATGGCGACAGCTCAACACCGGTTGCGCCGATCGCCACAGCCGCCGGCACGTGGAGGATCAAGGTGTGGAACCTCTACATCACCCTCCTCAGCGCAATAGTCGATCTCGGCGCAGAGGAGGGAAAGAAGCAATTTGGCCTGAAGGAGTGGAAATCAATTGCCTCGCAAGTTAGAGAAGGTGCAATTTGGGAAACTGTGGTCGAGGTCGGGTACCAAGGCCACGAGGGTTCGGTGGATGCCGAAGTGGTCTACAACCTGTTAGTATTCGGCTTCACCCCACTGGCCCAAATTGATCTACTAACAACGTGACGATAGTGCTACCCTCCTTCTAACGCACTCCTCTTCGCAATCCTTGAACCAACAGCGCCTTGAGACTTACCTCTCCTCCTATGGACAACCCAACCTCGACCTTACGGATCGTCTCCAGGATGCATCTGATGTTTACGAGCAACGCCCTCTGCGTACGACAAGCGGAGCCGATACCCCGAAAGATCTAACCGCTAGAGTAAAGATCATCGAGCTCTTTACTTTGCACGTCCTCCCCCGCAATGATGAGTGGGAATACTCGACCGAATTCGTCAATTTGAGCGAAGTCCTCGACGAAGAACGCAAAGATCTCTTCCTACAGACTCTCGAGGGCCTGAAGGAAGAGAAGGAGCGGGGTGAAATGCGCGCAGTCGAATTACAGCGAGCCAAAGATGCAGAGCTTGAACAGCAACGGGAGGATGAACGTCGCGAAGCCGAAGAAGCAGCGGCAGCCGCTGCGCGACTACAGTCCAATGGGCATAAGCGCAGTACCAGCGAAGTCGACTACGGGATTGAGAAAAACCGCTCACAAGCTTCTCCCAAAGGCAAAGGAGCTAGGCCATCGACAGACAAGTCACCAAATGGCAAGTCACGAACTTCTCTTTCATCGTCTGGCTCCAAAAATGTCAAGAAGCAGGACAAGGTCGAACCACGTGGTCGCTCAAGTCAGGCCGTGGCCACTGGACTGCGCAACATCTTCCGTCACATTATCCGGACTGTGTCTGGGAATCCCATGTCAATAGTGCGCACCCTACTTTTCGTGATCGGTATTTTGATGGCGATGAGCCGGCAGGGTGTGCGTGATCGCATCCGACGGGTGACAGACGGCGCTTGGCAGAAGGTCAAAGCTACGGCCGGAATGGGAGTCAAAGTGAGCTATATTTGAGATATAGGCCACTTCGGTCTCTGCGCACATTGCATGGTTATCATGTACATTTTTTCTTGATCAAGTTGGCCCCCAGTGTTCCTGGGGGTTGTTTTGCATACATGTTTCTTTTGTGATTCCCTTTGTGATTCTCTATGTTCATGTATTCTATGCATACATATCATATTGCCACCAGGTGTGGTTGAATTTATTCTTATTAAAGTCCGACTTTTCGTTTGTTTCAGCCAGCAATTCTCAAAGGCAACCTTCGTAAAGTGCCTTTGCTTATTGTCCAGTACGTTCATTCCATTGCCGATCAAAGACGGTAAGAGATCGCTGAGCTGTGAAATATTTGCATTAGCTTGTTTTCTACATGAGATATCCAATATATTCCCAAATAAGAGACTTGGATACTCACCCGAAGGAACAACATCCAAAGCCTTAATGGAGACATTAAGAGGCTGATTGAGCATATAAACAGCAGCCTCAGCAACATCATTCGCAAGAAGCGGCCTAACAACACCACCATCAGCAAATCTCCTCAACCGGATAGAGTAAACTGCAAAGTAAAAACTCACGTATATCCGTCCAAAAACTCATCATATTGCGACTGGTCATGTCCAACCCTTTGAGCATGGAAATGTCCCGCAACAACACCAGGCCTCAACGCCAACACCCGGATATTAGTCCCATTCAACTCATTCCGCAACGAGTTAGTGAAAGCCTCTTGCGCCGCTTTGTTAGAATGGTAGACTGCTTCGCCTGTAAAAGGTGGTACTTCTAGGCCAGTGACCGAGGTGACGTTTATGATCGTCCCCGCTTTGCGCGAGAGCATACTGCGGTTTAGCACAGAGTGAGCCACATACATTGGGCCGTTGACGTTTGTTGAGATCATTGTTTGGATGTCTGATATTTTGAGGTTGTGGAAGGCGTTTGGTGCGCCGATGGCGAGTCCGGCCTTGGGGTTTGTTAGTGGATGTCCATAAAACCTTGGAAGAGTTTGATAATGGGGGGTTTAGACTGGGTTTTAGCGTACGTTGTTGATGAGGATGTCGATGCCACCGAGTTCTTTGACTGATGAATCGACGGCTGCATCGACTTCCTCGTAGTTTCCTACATCGGCTGTTCGGTAGATCACTCTAATCTGAGGGTATTGTTTGCTTAACTCGTCTGTGAGTTTGGCTAGTTTGTCCTGGGTATCATGTATGTTAGTTCCTATGTTCGAGGGTCCTTGGTGGCCAGTGGGGTGTGACACTTACCTCGGAGCGAGAGAGAAGAATCAAATTTGCACCGGCTTTGGCTAGGGCCCTTGCTGTTGCTTCACCGATGCCCATTGAGGCGCCGGTCTATAGAAGTAGTTCAATATATGAATTGGGTCGTGATGGCGGTCCACTTACAAGGAGGGCAGTTTGTCCGCTTAGAGTCATTTTGACGGATGCAGTTATATCAAAGCTTCTGTAACAGAGAATAAAGGAAGAAATAGGGTTAATATGTTGTAGAACTTGGATATTTCGTCTCCTTAGATTATAAATCAATTGTATCTGCAGATGGACGTCATCCAGAGGGAGCTCGGGAGTATACCGGACCCACTTACCTCCAGGGCTCCTCTTTAGGCATAAATATCCGCACTAATACCACATCACTCTGGCGATCATATTCTATGATCATAATGGGGCAGATCATGGAAATATTGGCGGGAATAACAGCTGGACCTATGTTGGAAGCTGCCCTGGGTCTGGCTATCTAAGGATTGAGTTGGGGTGGACAAATTGTGCATCGCTGCTGTCACAAAGCTGAACTTGTAGACCATTCTGGTGGTCTAATCCTCAACCTGCTTTGCAATAGTGGCGTCAGTTTGAGCACAAGATGCAGTCCAACCTGTGCTGATATCTATATTGTCTTCGCCTAAGGGAGATAGATAACACGACTTTCTAGAGGCTGGAGAATGAAGAACACACACTCTTCGTAACAAGGAGGAGGCCATAAAAGCCCAAACAAAGAAGAGTGGACAATACACAATGCATTTGTCGCCATGATTACATAGTGTTTTGGTTCATGGGAAACTGTAGATGCTCATGTTTCGCTATAAATACGGCATGCATCCCGCGCATGAACACACCCTTGTAAACTTCCGTCTTGCTGGATTTCATCAAAGAGAAAGAAAGAAATATTTTTTTAACTCCCAGAGATACCCTGGTTGACGAACCCTTACAGAATAAAGGCCAAGAAGCATGTTTTCAAGGCTGAAATTGAAGAGGAGGATGACAAGAAACATGATCTCAAGGATGCACTCGAAGAGGACGGCAAGGAACACGCCATCAAGGATGAAATCAGAGAGGAGGCATTGGAATATCATGACCATCCCCAGGATAAGGTACTTGAACTCGATGACCAAACAGAAGAAGAGGCACTTGAGGCTCGAGAATTATCTTTGAGTTCAGGGTCTTCGTCTCGTTTCACTGCTCCATCAGCAGAGCAGCGCGTTCTGCCATGTCAACGGTGCTTTCGACGCATGAAAAAACATCCAAGCCATGTTTGTACCATTCAACCAGGTTATTCTAGATGTGACTATTGTCGTTTAAGTCACAGACTTTGCTTAAAGGTGAGTGAATAGTGAATCTGCTAAACAGGTTGATCTGACAATATTTCTGTAGTTGCCATATGCAATCCAGGCAGATGCTACCAGAGCATTCTCTGTGCGCTCCGCGAGACGAAGAGCTGCTCTTATTAATAAAATCCGACAGCGGATGGAACGTGATGCTGTTCAACGTAGGAAAGGCGAATCGAATTATGGACATTCTGATGAAGTCACTGCACCGCTATGCCCTCCCTCTTATCATAGTCCGATGACAAATGATCTGAGAGACCATGGTATGCAGTCAATCGAGGCTGCTCGTGATGAAGTCCAGGCTGTGTTGGATCGTACTCAATGGGAGTTCAAAAAACTTACTGAGCGGTTGGCTGAGCTACAGACTGAGCCAGAGACCAAGGAGGAACGAAAGGATTTGTCTGCTTGGCTGTAGAAGCTTCTTCATGTTGTCACTTTTGTGTGGAACTTTCATTGGGATTTTATTTCTTGTCTACGCCAGTCCATGATCTTTGAAGTTTGATGAGCTTTTGCTAGAAGTGGTTCATATCTTGGGCAAGGTTGTCTCTCTACTTCACAATAGAATGATAGTGTCTTGACAAAACGCGCGTACAATCTTGACAATTGAATTAGATTGTACAAATGTAGTTAGCTGGCTGGCTCTACCTCTTACAAGTCTAATTTTAGACCCAGGTATTCACGGAATAAGTCTAACATGCATATGTTTCGTTACCAAAAGAAAGAAAAAAACAATCTAAGACTCGGTCCAAAGAGCAGCCATTGCCACATAGGAAGGAAAACCAAATAATCTATTCTAAACGGGTATCAAACAGTCGTATGCTCATGACCACGTCCAGCGTGATCTTCACGTGAATCCTCAGCCATACCAATCTCAATATCATCGCGTGTACTGTCATCCAAATCCTCTTTCTCAACGATTCTAGCATGCCACCACCGGAACATTTGAACGAAGAAATGCGCCACGCAAATCTGCTCCGTGGTATAGAGCAGCACCGGCACCGATGTCTTCGCTTTTATGAAAAGATCAACCGGCTGCCACATTGCGTAGAGCAGCGGGATACCGAGTGCGGTGCTCTTCGCCGGCCCGCAAAAGCACACTGCAATAGTTTCCTCCGGAGTCATGCGCTTGAAGATGGGCTTGGACCAGCGCCGGGAGCTGAAAATCCGCGGTGGTCTAGAGCAGAAGAAGCACACTGCCGTTAAAGTGATGTAGAGTATGATGTTGAAAAGAACCACGAAGGCTATGCTCTGCGCGGAAAGGGTTTGAAGGGCTCCTGTTGCGAAGCAGGAGGAAAATGTGGCCCTGATATTTAGGATGTTGGGTTAGAAAGAGGAAGAAAAAAAGGGACCAAGGCTTTCGTATAGAAAGCTAGTTGTACTCACCAAATCAACAATAACAAGCAGACAGTAGCCAGCTTAGGCAGCTTGGTCTTCTGCATGACCCACGCAGTGCGATCAGGCCAAGTCCACCTCACCAGCTGCCCAATAAACAGCGGCAGTAGGACACTGAGTCCCAGTTGCTGAAAAACCTCCTTATACATACTCCCCAAATCCCCACCCCCATACCGCCAGGGATCAAACTCCACCATCTTGGGCATCAACGCAATAGTCCAAGCAGCCGTAACAAATGGGCCGAGAATATTAGCCAACAAGACCTCCACCAAAGCAGCGGCATCATCTCCGCCCGCAGACCTCGTCATAACAACATTTGACGCAATCGTCGTCGGAATACAAGCAGTAAAGATATACCCGGCCAGCACAGCGCGATCAATCTTGCCCCCGGATCCGCAGCGAGGATAATATGCACGATGGCCAGCACCAGTGCGGGGATAAACAGAAACGAAATCACCTGCACGATCAAGTGAAGGCGCCAATTCAGGACGTGCGAGATAAGCTTCTGGCGCGGGATACTCAGGCCTGAGATTAGGAAGATTATCGCGATCACGCCGTACATGATGCTATACTCGGAGCGGATGGTGCCGCCGTGCTTGGCCACGTTCGGGAAGCAATATGCGAGGGCGCACACGATACCGATCCCGATTAGGAGCCATTGGTGGAGGATTAGACTTGCGATGCATTTCAGGGCTCGCTGCCACCGCGGCTGGGCGGTGTCCCGGGCTGCTTCCATTTTTTTGTTGTTTACTCTAGGAATGAGGACATGGATATTGTACTCCCATGGATAATTTGGCCTCTAGAAGGTGAGTTGATCTTGTAGGGGTATGTAGGGGATATGTAGGGGTAGTTGAAAATTGCGTAATCGGCGTTAGTCCGATCCATCGGAGTCGATAGCGCGTACTTTGTACAGGAGTCGCATCATCTATTTGAAGCTATACGTTGTATAACTACAATGTACATTGTAGGATCCATCATCATGGATATGTGTATCTTTTGCATCTTCGCATATCAAACATCAAATCTGGAAATACAGAATGGGGTCGCCGAAATCGGGTAGCCGATGTTATCAATCGGCTCAAATGATACCGAATGCGATAGGCGATGCATGTGAAGGTACTTTGAGTCAAAATCTTGAAACATATAGCATGCCGACACTATTGATCTCATATCTTGCACACGTTGTTCTCCGTGCAGCGAGGTAGATCTCTTGTCGATAGAATGCAAGGTTCCATAGGGCAACTAGAAATTCGGTAAAACGTTCACCCGACAGCATGACGGCTCTATCAACGTCACCACCATCTGCCCAGATGTGCATTCTATAATAATCTACAAACCCCGGACTATAAAGACACCTTTAGCCAAGCCTACAGCAAGCCCCATGCTCAACCTTCGAATACTTTAATTGTCCATCTGACTCAGAACGTCCCATGACCTTTCTGAATATGGACCTCAGCTGAGAGGAGCTCTAGCGTTGGCCCGAGATCACCCGCAAATAGCCAGCGGATTTCGCTACTTTCCTCCGAAGTTCAAGTCGGAACTGTTCAAATCTGCGGAGTAATTTAGATCCCTGGAAAGATTAGGGGTTTCTAGAATGGTGTAGTCTAAGGGTATGGTTGCGTGTAGGATAATGTACATGTAGTTGGAAAAGGCACGGGCATTTTAAACGTGTCATTTTACATTGTACAATCTAATCTGAAAATAAAGTATACAATCACAAGCTGCAAAAACTATGACGACAATTTGGAAAAGGCATGTGAAATCAGATCATTGGAGATCTGGGGTGATTCATTCCGCTGGATAGAGAGCCGCCCTGGTTACCGAAGGCCTCGGGATTGTGTTGGTGGCTCTACACGTACTCGGTACAGATAGAACTTAATTATTATATAGAGACCTCCCTCGGCAAGTCATTTAGTCTACTATCTCTTTTTTCCTTCTTCTTCTTCTTCTCTGTTCTTCTCATTTGTGCGAGGTCATATACACTTCCGTTCGTCCAGCTTCCTCCGCTTCCCCGTCATAGCTCCCCACAAAGTCTGGCACACTGCCGCCACTCCGCCTCGTGAATCATATACCCTTGGAACTTCGGTTCTCTTTTTTTTTTTTGAAGGATTAAAGATCTTTGGAATTGATCTCTTGATTTTCCTCAGACCCTCCAGATATACCATCTTTACCAATTGCAGGTTGTTTCTGCTTATTCTCCGGGATTGTATACTTCCGCTTCTCCGCAATTTCGGCTTTCCCTTGCGACAATCGGAAGATCTGCGTAACTCGATTTCCGAGACGGCCAATTGAAGAATTTCTGTGAAATCTTCGTGAACAAAAGTGCACATTCTCTGCATATATATCAACACAAATTGAAAACAATGTCCGCCAAAACTGCCAATCAGCGCACATCGCCCGCGGTCAACTTGATCGGTAGAGTAGACTCCCCCTTTTGGGATGGTGTACAGCTATTAACTTTTGCTGATTAGCTGGTGGTGGTGCCGGTATGATGGAGGCCCTCGTGTGCCATCCGCTAGACACAATCAAGGTCCGCATGCAGCTTTCAAGGAGAGCCACAGCACCTGGGGTGAGTTCGAGAACATGCCATTTGACGGTTGAAGCCATTGCTAACCATGTTCGCTGGATCAGGCTAAGCCACGCGGGTTCGTGGCCACCGGTGCTCAAATCAGTGCAAGGAGACCGCTCTGGGTCTGTACAAGGGTCTTGGTGCCGTGCTGGGTGGTATCATCCCGAAGATGGCCATTCGATTCACCTCATACGAGTCATATAAGGGCATGCTGGCCGATAAGCAGACAGGCGCCGTGACTAGCAAAGCCACTTTCCTGGGTATGTGAAGAGTTGAACAAGCCTCAAGATGCCCAACAGGAAAGCTAACAATCCCCACAGCTGGTCTCGCTGCCGGTGTTACCGAAGCCGTAGCCATCGTCCAACCCCATGGAAGTCATCAAAATTCGTCTGCAGGCTCAGCACCACAGTCTGGCTGACCCCTGGATACCCCGAAGTACCGCAGCGCCCCACACGCGCTTTTCACCGTGATCAAGGAAGAAGGCTTCAGCGTCCTGTACCGCGGTGTCTCTCTGACAGCCCTCCGACAAGGAACCAATCAGGCCGCCAACTTCACCGCATACACGGAACTGAAGGCTGCCCTGCAGCGTTGGCAACCCGACTACAGCAACAGCCAGCTGCCCGCTTACCAGACCACCATGATTGGTCTGATCTCCGGTGCTGTCGGCCCCTTCTCGAACGCTCCCATCGACACCATCAAGACCCGCCTCCAGAAGACCCGTGCTGAGCCCGGTCAATCCGCTGTCTCCCGTATCATGGTGATTGCCAAGGATATGTTCAAGACGGAGGGTACTCGCCGCTTTCTACAAGGGTATCACCCCCGTGTGATGCGTGTTGCTCCCTGGCCAGGCTGTCACTTTCACCGTGTATGAGTTCCTCAAGGGTAAACTGGAGGGCTCTAACTGGGCTTTCGTTGGTGGCAAGTTCGAGGAGTAAATGTGCCAAATTTCTTGTTTTTTTGGAAGCATTGTGATACCTGATCTGGCATGGTGGGAGTTACATTCCCTCTGTTTCGCGCATTGGACTGTCTCGGACAGAGCTCTAGAATTGCAAGCCGGTTGAAACGGCTCTTTTTTTTGTAAATATTTTGTGCTTTGCGGTTAGTTCTTTTCTATACCACTTTGTCTGGTGCGCTTTGTCTGGTGCATCTTGAGCTGAAATAGAGAATGTTCAAAAAACTCTTGAAGACTCGTTCACAAAGTGTAGTAGTTGGATGTTTAGGGTCTGTCCGTCAATGACCCAGTGGTTGTAGATACACCAAGTCAACGATGCTTGTGCAACGATCACACAAGAACATATTCCTACCGAGTTAGGATAATGACAGAATTGTCTCTTTTCTGTGATATAGACGTGTTAGATGTAGAAAGGTCAAAACAAAGCCAGCCCTACTTACGGCTGACATGCCATCGGCCCTCATTCACCGCTCCCCCTCTCCCATCATAAACAACCAACCAACCCAGCTGCATCCTCAAGTGCAGCATCATGCAGTCAGGAATTACAGGTAAGACACTCGAATACACTTGATCTTGAACTTCGAACAAGACCCCATTGACCAACACTAACAACCAGACCAGTCTCCGCAGAGCTGCACGTCGCATTCACCCGCTTCAACTCCGACACCCTCAACCTTCTGTCTGCCGGTAACCATCACAGCAGAGACCTTAACACCCACTGGCCCCCATTTCCTTCCAGGGTAACCCTCGGAAAACGCCTTCTTTTCAGCCTCCCCCCAGCTGCCCTCCGTCCTCCAGCCTAAAACCCCCATCTACCTCCTCCTCCGGCGCCCATCGGATACCTCACCCGCCGCACTCATCGCTTTGACCTACATCCCGTCCAATGCGCCCGTGCGAGCAAAGACACTCTTTGCCTCGACTCGTTCCGTCACTGACCGCGAGCTGGGCACCGAGAAGTTCGCTTCTACCGTCTTTTGCTACTGAGGAAGACGAGGTTCTGGGCCAGGATGCATGGCGCGAGCGTGATGGCGAGGGCCCCAATGCTATCTCTCCGTGAAGATATGATGGGCGAGAAGGAGAGGGAGCTGGAGGCTGTTCGTAAGGCTGGAGGCTGAGTGCGCCCGGAATGGCACCCCCGGGAGGGCATTGGCATTGGCGCACTTTTGGACCTGGATCTGGATCTGGGATGAGGGTTTCTATGCCGGTTGATGAGGGCGCTAGGTCTGCGCTGAGGGATCTACGGGATGGTGGGTTAGTACAACTGGTGAGTTATTACCTCCCTGGCTTGTTGTCATCCTTTGAGGGCTGGTCCGGGTCGAGGACTAACTTCAAGAAGACGGTTGATATCCCCACGTAGAAGATCGTCTTAGCCGACTCCCAGTCTGGAGTCGAGGGCGAACTCTGTCGCTCACACACATTTCCTCCACTTCGCCGCGTTATTCTTTCTATCATTACCCCGGATCCGATGTCGTGATCTTCGTGTACACTTGTCCCACTGGATCTTCAATCAAGGAGCGTATGATGCACGCCAGCTCGCGGGAGAAATGCTATCACGGTTGCTGAGCAGGGAAGGATCAAGATCGAGAAAAAATTATGCGTGCCCCGTGTTATGGATGGTCGTAATTGTTTGGTCGTTTGGATGCTTACAAATAGTAGATTGAGGCCTCTCTGGTCCTGACGAGATCACCGGAGATCGTTTGCAGAGAGGAAGTCACCCCGCCACGAGACCAGGGTCCTACGCGAGGATTCGCCAGACCTCGTCGCCCCGGCCGGTAAATCGCTATTGTATAGTATAGACCTATGTTCTTGATGAGGCCAGGAAACTCTTGAGCCCTCAGCGGGCATCGATCCGATAGCTTCCGCAAGTAAATATAGCAGCACTGTGCTAGACTATCGCCAGGTTATTGTCTAAAACTTGGTAATTGCTTTTCCTGATGAGATGACCAAAGGTAGAATCGGGTCTGGGGCAGAATATTAATCAGATCCTCAGATACCATCTCTGAAGAGCACATATTCCACAGAGAACCCGTGCTAGATCTTTTATCCTTCCTGGATGACTGTGGCCCTGGCCAGACTGAAGGGCCTGTGGGTCAGTTTTCCAATGCGTGCAATATAACAGACTTAATTATTGCTTGGTGTAGGTTTTATGA